TCGACCACTTCGTTCCGGTTACGTATTGCTCCTACATCCCCACTAGAACACCACTGTCGTGTCTCCTCCCCCCTCGTACATCACCACGAGAACACCAGAGACTGTATGAGTACTCCAACCCCTCCTTGTACATCACCAAGAGAACAACGAGGGCTGTCACGGATCCTCACCCCTACATCCCCACGAGAACTCCAGAGACTGTCACGGGTCCTCACCCCTTCATCACGAGAACACAAGAGACTGTCACGGGTCCTCCTCTCTCCTTGTACATCACCAGGAGAACACCATAGGACTGTCACGGCCCCCCCTACATCTCCACGAGAACACCAGAGACTGTCACGGGTCCTCCTCCATTCCTTTACATCCCCAGGGAACTCTAGAGCTGTCACGGGTCCTCACCCTTCATCCCCGAGAACACCAGGGACTGTCACGGGTCCTCACCCTACATACCGAGAACACCAGAGACTGTCACCGGTCCTTCCGCCCCACCTAGTACATCATCACCAATAACATAAGTGGACTGTCAGGTTCTCCCCCTTCATCCCCACGACAACACCAGAGACTGTCTGGGTCATCACCCCTACATCCCCAATAGAACTCCAGAGACTGTCACGGGTCCTCACCCCTTCATCCAACGAGAACACCAGAGGACTGTCACGGGTCCTCACCCTACATCCCCGAGAACACCAGGACTGTCACAGGTCCTCACCCCTACATCCTGAGAACACCAGAGACTCTCACGGGTCCTCCTCCCCTCCTGCATCATCACGATAACACCAGTGAACTGTCACAGGTCCTCACCCTTACATCCCCACGAGAACACCGAGACTGTCACGGTTCCTCCGTCCCCTCCTTGCACATCATCACGATAACACCAGTGGACTCTCATGGGTCCTCCCCTTCATCCAGAACACCAGAGACTGTCAGGTCCTTCTCCCCTCCTTGCATATCAACGAGAACACCAAGGCATCACGGGTCCTCCGCTCTTCAATCCCCACGAGAACACCAAGAGACTGTCAGGGTCCTCACCCCTTCATCCCACGAGAACACCAGAGACTGTCACGGGTCCTCACCCTTCAGCACCAAGAGAACACCAGAGACTGTCACGGGTCCTCCTCCCCTCATCACCACGAGAACACCAGAGAACTGTCACGGGTCCTCACCCTACATCCCACTAGAACACCAAGACTGTCACGTGTCCTCCTCCCTCGTACATCACCACGAGGACACCAGAGACCTGTCAGGTTGCTCCAACCCCTCCTTGTACCATCACCAGAGAACAACAGAGACTGTCACGGATCCTCACCCTACATCCCCACGAGAACTCCAGAGACTGTCACGGGTCCTCACCCATTCATCCCACGAGAACACAAGAGACTGTCACGGGTCTCCTCTCCTCCTTGTACATCACCAGGAGAACACCATGGGACTGTCAGGCCCCCCACATCTCCACGAGAACACCAGAGACTGTCACGGGTCCTCCCCCATTCCTTTTACATCCCGGGAACTCAGAGACTGTCAGGTCCTCACCTTCATCCCCGAGAACACCAGAGGACTGTCACGGGTCTCACCCTACATCCACGAGAACACCAGAGACTGTCACAGGTCCTCACCCCTACATCACCACGAGAACACCAGAGACTGTCACGGGGCCTCCTCCCCTCTCTTGGCCCATCATCAGGATAACACCAGTGGACTGTCACGGGTTCTCTCCTTCATCCCCACGAAACACCAGAGACTGTCACGGGTCCTCACTTATCCCCACGAGAACACCAGAGACTGTCATGGGTCCTCACCCCTTCAGCACCGAGAGAACACCAGAGATTGTCACGGGTCCTCACCCCTTCACCCCCAAGAAAACACCAGAGACTGTCACGGATCCTCCTCCCCTCATCACCACGAGAACACCAGAGACTGTCACGGGTCCTCACCCCTACATCCCCACGAAAACACCAAAGACTGTCATGTGTCCTTCTTCCCCCTCGTACATCACCACGAGAACACCAGAGACTGTCACGGGTACTCAACCCTCCTAGTACATCATCACGAGAACAACAGAGTCTGTCACGGATCCTCACCCCTACATCCCCACGAGAACTCCAGAGACTGTCAGGGTCCTCACCCTTCATCCCACGAACACAAGAGACTGTCACGGGTCCTCACCCCTTCATACCAAGAGAACACCAGAGACTGTCACGGGTCCTCCTCCCTCCTTGAACATCATCCGATAACACCAGTGTACTGTCAAGGGTCCTCCCTCCTTCATCACCATGAGAACACCAGAGACTGTCACGGGTCATCCTCCATTCTTGTACATCCCTAGAGAACTCCAGAGACTGTCACGGGTCCTCACCCCTTCAGCCCACGCGAAGGGACTGTCACGGGTCCTAACCCCTACATCCCAAGAACACCAGAGAAACTGTCACAGGTCCTCACCCCTACATCCCACGAGAACACCAGAGACTGTCACGGGTCCTCCTCCCCCTCCTTGTACATCACCACGTGCCTGGTGGACTGTCACGTGTTCCTCCCCCTTCATCCCACGAGAACACCAGAGACCTAGGGTCCTCACCCCTACATCCCCACGAGAACACCAGAGACTGTCACGGGTCCTCACCCCTTCATCAACGAGAACACCAGAGAGACTGTCATGGGTCCTCACCCCTACATCCCCACGAGAACACCAGAGACTGTCAGGGTCCTCACCCTACATCCCCACGAGAACACCAGAGACTGTCACGGGTCCTCCTCCCCCTCCTTGTACATCATCACGATAACACCAGTGAACTGTCACAGGTCCTCACCCCTACATCCCCACGAGAACACCAGAGACTGTCACGGTTCCTCCGTCCCCTCCTTGTACATCATCACGATAACACCAGTGGACTGTCACGGGTCCTCCCCCTTCATCCTCACGAGAACACCAGAGACTGTCACGGGTCCTTCTCTCCCTCCTTCCATATCACCACGAGAACACCAAAGACTGTCACGGGTCCTCCGCTCTTCATCCCCACGAGAACACCAGAGACTGTCAGAGGTTCCTCACCCCTTCATCCCACAGAACACCAGAGAGACTGTCATGGGTCCTCACCCCATCAGCAGCGAGAGAACACCAGAGACTGTCACGGGTCCTCATCCCTTTCACCCCCAAAACACCAGAGAACTGTCACGGATCCTCACTCCCTCCTCACCACGAGAACACCAGAGACTGTCACGGGTCCTCACCCCCATCCCCACGAGAACACCAAGACTGTCATGTCCTTCTTCCCCCTCATGTCACCACGAGAACACCAGAGACTGTCACGGGTACTCAACCCCCTCCTAGTACATCATCACGAGAACAACAGAGTCTGTCACGGATCCTCACCCCTGTCCCACGAGAACTCCAGAGACTGTCACGGGTCCTCACCCCTTCATCCCACGAGAACACAAGAGACTGTCACGGGTCCTCACCCCTTCATACCAAGAGAACACCAGAGACTGTCACGGGTCCTCCTCCCCCCTCCTTGAACATCATCACGATAACACCAGTGTACTGTCACGGGTCCTCCTCCTTCATCACCATGAGAACACCAGAGACTGTCACGTGTCCTCCTCCCCCCTCGTACATCACCACGAGAACACCAGAGACTGTCACGGGTCCTCACCCTCCTTGTACATCACCAAGAGAACTCCAGAGACTGTCACGGGTCTCACCCCTTCATCCCACGAGAACACCAGAGACTGTCACGGGTCCTCACCCCTTCAGCACCAAGAGAATACCAGAGACTGTCACGGGTCCTCACTCCTCCATCACCACAGCACCAGAGAGAACTGTCCGGGTCCTCACCCTACATCCCCACTAGAACACAAAGACTGTCACGTGTCTCCTCCCCTCCTCGCACATCACCACGAGAACACCAGAGACTGTCACGGTCCTCAACCCCCCTCCTTGTACATCACCAAGAGAACAACAGAACTGTCACGGATCCTCAACCCCTACATCCCACGAGAACTCCAGAGACTGTCGGTCCTCACCCCTTCATCCACGAGAACACAAGAGACTGTCACGGGTCCTCCTCTCACTCCTTGTACATCCCAGAGGACACCATAGGACTGTCTGACCCCCCCCTACATCTCACGAGAACACCAGAGACTTCACGGGTCCTCCTCCCATTCCTTTTACATCCCCAGAGACTCTAGAGACTGTCACGGTCCTCACCCCTTCATCCGAACACCAGAGGACTGTCACGGGTCCTCACCCCTACACCCAGGAACACCAGAGGCTGTCAGGGTCCTTCGCCCCCATCTTGTACATCATCACAATAACACCAGTGGACTGTCACGATTTCTCCCCCATCCCCACGACAACACCAGAGACTGTCACGGGTCCTCCCCTACATCCCGAGAACTCCAGAGACTGTCACGGGTCCTCACCCCCTTCATCAAGACACCAGGGACTGTCACGGGTCCTCACCCTACATCCCCATGAGAACACCAGAGACTGTCACAGGTCCTCACCCCTACATCCCACGAGAACACAGAGACTGTCAGGGTCCTCCTCCCCCTCGCCATACATCATGCGATAACACCAGTGAACTGTCACAGGTCCTCACCCTTACATCCCCACGAGAACACCAGAGACTGTCACGGTTCCTCGTCCCCCTCTGTACATCATCACGATAAAACCAGTGAACTGTCACAGGTCCTCACCTTACATCCCCACGAGAACACCAGAGACTGTCACGGGTCCTTCTCCCCCCTCCTTGCATATCACCACGAGAACACCAAAGACTGTCACGGGTCCTCGCTCTTCTCATCCCCACGAGAACACCAGAGACTGTCACGGGTCCTCCTCCCCCTCCATGTACATCATCCGAGAACACCAGTGAACTGTCACGGGTCCTCACCCCTGCATCCCCCGAGAACACCAGAGACTGTCACGGTTCCTCCGTCCTCCTTGCATCATCAGGATAACACCAGTGGACTGTCACGGGTCCTCCCCCTTCATCCTCCCACGAGAACACCAGAGACTGTCACGGTCCTTCTCTCCCTCCTTGCATATCACTACGGAACACCAAAGACTGTCTCGTCCTCCTCCGCCTTCATCCCACGAGAACACCAGAGACTGTCACGGGTCCTCACCCCTTCAGCACCAAGAGAATACCAGAGACTGTCAGGTCCTCCTCCCCTCATCACCACGAGAACACCAGAGAACTGTCACGGGTCCTCACCCTACATCCCCACTAGAACACCAAGGACATCACGTGTCCTCCTCCCCTCGTTACATCACCACGAGAACACCAGAGACTCCTTGGTACTCCAACCCCCTCCTTGTACATCACCAGAACAACCAGAGACTGTCACGGATCCTCACCCCATCCCCACGAGAACTCCAGAGCTGTCACGGGTCCTCACCCCTTCATCCCACGAGAACACAAGAGAGACTGTCACGGGTCCTCCTCTCCCTCCTTGTACATCACCAGGACACCATAGGACTGTCACGGCTACATCTCTACGAGAACACCAGAGACTGTCACGGGTCCTCCTCCCATTCCTTTTACATCCCCAGGGGAACTCTAGAGACTGTCACGGGTCCTCACCCCTTCATCCACGAGAACACCAGAGGACTGTCACGGGTCCTCACCCCTACACCACGAGAACACCAGAGACTGTCACGGGTCCTCCTCCCCCACCTTGTACATCATCACGAGAACACCAAGTGGACTGTCACGGGTCTCCCCCCTCATCCCACGAGAACACCAAGAGACTCTCACGGGTCCTCACCCTTCATCCCACGAGAACACCAGAGACTGTCACGGGTCCTCACCCCTTCATCCCCAACAGAACACAAGAGACTGTCACGGGTCCTCACTCCCTCATCCCACGAGAACACCAGAGACTGTCACGGGTCCTCACCCCTACATCCCCACGAGAACACAAAGGGCATCTGAGTCCTCATCCCTACATCCACGAGAACACCAGAGACTGTCACGGGTCCTCCCTAACCTCTGTACTCATCACGATAGACCAGTGGATATCACGGGTCCTCACCCCTTCATCACCCACGAGAACACAGAGACTGTCACGGGTCCTCCTCCTCCTCCTTGTATATCACCACGAGAACACCAAAGAATGTCACGGGTCCTCCTTCTCCTTCTGTATATCACCACGAGAACACCATAGACTGTCACGGGTCCTCACCTCTACATCCATCCACGAGAACAAAGAGACTGTCACGGGTCCTCAGCCCTATATCCCCGAGAACACCAGAGACTGTCACGGGTCCTCCTCCCCCTCCTTGTATATCAACACGAGAACACAGAGACTGTCACAGGACCTCCTCCCCCCTTGCTACATTACCACGAGAACACCAGAGAAACTGTCACGGGTCCACCTCCCCCTCATTGCACATCACCGAGAACACCAGAAACTGTCACGGGTCCTCACCCCTACATCCCACGACAACACCAAAGACTGTCACGTGTCCTCCTCCCCCCTCCTTGTACATCATCACAGAAAACCAGAGACTGTCACGGGTCCTCCTCCCCTCCTTGCATATCCCCACGAGAACAGCAGAGACTGTCACGGGTCCTCCTCTCCCCTGCTTGTATATCCCGAGAACACCATAGGACTGTCACGCCCCCCCCTACGTCCCCACGAGAAATCAGAGACTGTCACGGGTCCTCCCCACCCTTCATCCCGAGAACACCAGAGACTCTCACGGGTCCTCCTCCCATTCCTTGTACATCCCCAAGGAACACCAGAGACTGTCACGGGTCCTCACCCTTCATCCAAGAACACCAGAGGACTGTCACGGCTCCTCACCCCGCTTCCCCGAGAACACCAGAGACGGTCACAGGTCCTCACCCCTACATCCCCACGAGAACACAGGGCTGTCACGGGGCCTCCTCCCCTCCTTGTACATCATCCCACGATAACACCAGTGGACTGTCACGGGTCCTCGCTCTTCATCCCCACGAGAACACCAGAGACTCTCAGGGTCCTCACCCCTTCATCCCCGACAACACCAGAGACTGTCACGGGTCACCCTACATCCCCAGGCTCCAGAGACTGTCACGGGTCCTCACCCGTTCATCCCACAGGGAACAAGAGACTGTCACGGGTCCTCACCCCTTCATACAACACCAGAGACTGTCAGGTCCTCACCCTACATCCCACGAGAACACCAGAGAACTGTCACGGGTTCCTCACCCTACATCCCACGAGAACACAGAGACTGTCACGGGTTCCTCCCCCTCCTTGTACATCATCGAGAACACCAGTGAACTGTCACGGGTCCTCACCCCTACATCCCCACGAGAACACCAGAGACTGTCATTCCTCCTCCCCTCCTTGTACATCATCACGATAACACCAGTGGACTGTCGTGTTCTCCCCTTTCATCCCCACGAGAACACCAAGAGACTGTCACGGGTCCTCACCCCTACATCCCACAAGAACACCAGAGACTGTCACGGGTCCTCACCCCTTCTCATCCAACAGAACACCAGAGACTGTCACGGTTCCTCCTCCCCTCCTTGTACATCATCACGATAACACCAGTGGACTGTCACGGGTCCTCCTTCATCCCCGAGAACACCAGGACTGTCGGGTCCTTCTCCCCATCCTTGTATATCATCACGAACACCAAAGACTGTCACGGGTCCTCCCCTCTTCATCACGAGAACACCAGACTGTCAAGGGTCCTCACCCTTCATCCCCACGAGAACACCAGAGACTGTCACGGGTCCTCACCCTTCCTTTCAGAGAACACCAGAGACTGTCACGGGTCCTCCTCCCCTCATCACCACGAGAACACCAGAGACTGTCACGGGTCCTCACCCCTACATCCCACTAGAACACCAAGACTGTCACGTGTCCTCCTCCCCCCTCGTACATCACCACGAGAACACAGAGACTGTGGGTCCTCCAACCCCCCTCCTTGTACATCACCAAGAGAACACCAGAGACTGTCAGGATCCTCCCCTACATCCCAAGACTCCAGAGACTGTCACGGGTCCTCACCCCTTCATCCACGAGAACACAAGAGACTGTCACGGGTCTCCTCTCTCCCTCCTTGTACATCACCAGGAGAACACCATAGGACTGTCACGGCCCCCCTACATCTCCACGAGAACACCAGAGACTGTCACGGGTCCTCCTCCCATCCTTTTTCATCCCCAGGGAACTCCAGAGACTGTCACGGGTCCTCACCCTTCATCCACGAGAACAAGAGACTGTCACGGGTCCTCCTCCCCCCTCCTTGTACATCATCACGAGAACACCAGTGGACTGTCACGTGTTCCTCCCCCTTTCATCCCCACGAAAACCAGAGACTGTCACGGGTCCTCACCCCTACATCCCACGAGAACTCCAGAGAACTGTCACGGGTCCTCACCCCTTCATCCAACGAGAACACCAGAGGACTGTCACGGGTCCTCACCCCCTACATCCCACGAGAACACCAGAGACTGTCACAGGTCCTCCCTTCATCCCGGAACACAGAGACTGTCACAGGTCCTCTCCCTCCTTGTACATCATCGATAACACCAGTGAACTGTCACAGGTCCTCACCCCCTACATCCCCAGGAGCACCAGAGACTGTCAGGTTCCTCCGTCCCTCCTTGTACATCATCCGATAACACCAGTGGACTGTCACGGGTCCCTCCCCTTCATCCCCACGGATACCAGAGACTGTCAGGGTCCTTCTCTCCCTCCTTGCATATCATCACGAGAACACCAAAGACTGTCACGGGTCCTCCCGCTCTTCATCCCCAGAGAACACCAGAGACTGTCAAGGGTCCTCACCCCTTCATCCCCACGAACACCAGAGACTGTCACGGGTCCTCACCCCTTCAGCACCAAGAGAATACCAGAGACTGTCCGGGTCCTCCTCTCCTCATCAACAAGAATACCAGAGAACTGTCCGGGTCCTCCCCCATCCCCACCACTAGAACACCAAAGACTGTCCGTGTCCTCCTCCCCCCTCGTACATCACCACGAGAACACCAGAGACTGTCGCGGGTACTCCAACCCCCTCCTTGTACATCACCAAGAGAACAACAGAGACTGTCACGGATCCTCACCCCTACATCCCCACGAGAACTCCAGAGACTGTCGGGTCCTCACCCCTTCATCCCACGAGAACACAAGAGACTGTTGGGTCCTCCTCTCCCCTCCTTGTACATCACCAGGAGAAACACCATAGGACTGTCACCCTCCCCCATCTCACGAGAACACCAGAGACTGTCACGGGTCCTCCTCCCATTCACCTCATCCCCAGAGACCTCCAGAGACTGTCACGGGTCCTCCCCCTTCATCCCATGAGAACACCAGAGGACTGTCACGGGTCCTCACCCCTACATCCCACGAGAACACCAGAGACTGTCACGTCCTCACCCCTACATCACCACGAGAACACCAGAGACTGTCACGGGTCCTTCTCCCCCACCTTGTACATCATCAGGATAACACCAGTGGACTGTCACGGGTTCTCCCCCTTCATCCTCTCGACAACACCAGAGACTGTCACGGGTCTCACCCTACATCCACACAAGAACTCCAGAGACTGTCACTGGTCCTCACCCCTCATCCCACGAGAACACCAGAGACTATCACGGGTCCTCCGCCCCCTCTTCTTCATCCACGGATAACACCAATGGACTGTCACGGGTCTCCGCTCTTCATCCCACGAGAACACCAAAGACTCTCAAGGGTCCTAACCCCTTCATCCCCACGAACACCAGAGACTGTCACGGGTCCTCCTCCTCCTCCTTGTACATCACCGAAACACCAGGAACTGTCCGCGGTCTCACCCCTTCATTCAACAGAACACCAGAGACTGTCACGGGTCCTCCTCCCCTCATCACCACGAGAACACCAGAGACTGTCACGGGTCCTCACCCCCTACATCCCCAAGAGAACACAAAGACTGTCACGAGTCCTCATCCCTACATCCCACGAGAACACCAGAGACTGTCACGGATCCTACTAACACTCCTTCACGTCATCACGATAGAACCAGTGGACTATCACAGGTCCTCACCCCTTCATCCCCACGAGAACGCCAGAGACTGTCACGGGTCCTCCTCCTCCTCCTTGTATATCACCACGAGAAAACCAAAGAATGTCACGGGTCCTCCTTCTCCTTCTTGTTATCACCACGAGAACCCATGAGACTGTCACGGGTCCTCACCTCTACATCCATCCCGAGAACAAAAGAGACTGTCACGGGTCCTCAGCCCTATATTCCCCACGAGAAGACCAGAGACTGTCACGGGACCTCCTCCCCCCTCCTTGTACATTACCACGAGAACACCAGAGACTGTCACGGGTCCACCTCCCCCTCATTGCACAACACCACGAAACACCAGAAACTGTCACGGGTCCTCACCCCTACATCCCGACAACATCAAAAACTGTCCGTGTCCTCCTCCCCTCCTTGTACATCATGACGAGAAAACCAGAGACTTCACGGGTCCTCCTCCCCTCCTTGCATATCCCCACGAGAACAGCAGAGACAGTCACGGTCCTCCTCCCCCTCCTTGAACATCATCACGATAACACCAGTGGGCTGTCAAGGGTCCTCCTCCTTCATCACCATGAGAACACCAGAGCTGTCACGGGTCATCCTCATTCCTTGTACATCCCCAGAGGATCTCCAGAGACTGTCACGGGTCTCACCCCTTCATCCACGAGAACACCAGAGGACTGTCACGGGTCCTAACCCTACATCCCACGAGAACACAGAGACTGTCACAGGTCTCACCCCTACATCCCCGAGAACTCCAGAGACTGTCACGGGTCCTCCTCCCCCTCCTTGTCACATCATCACATCACCAGTGGACTGTCACGTGTTCTCCCCCTTTCATCCCCGAGAACACCAGAGACTGTCACGGGTCCTCACCCATCCCCACAGGAACTCCAGAGCTGTCACGGGTCCTCACCCTTCATCCAACGAGAACACAGAGGAATGTCACGGGTCCTCACCCCTACATCCCCACGAGAACACCAGAGACTGTCAGGGTCTCACCCCTACATCCCACAGAACACCAGAGACTGTCACGGGTCCTCCTCCCCTCCTTGTACATCATCACGATAACACCAGTGAACTGTCACAGGTCCTCACCCACATCCCGAGAACACCAGAGGACTGTCACGGGTCCTCACCCTATATCCCACGAGAACACCAGAGACTGTCAGGGTCCTCACCCTATATCACCACGAGAACACCAGAGACTGTCAGGGTCCTTCTCCCCCCACCTCTTGACATCATCACGATAACACCAGTGGACTGTCAGGGTTCTCCCCCTTCATCCCCGACAACACCAGAGACTGCGGGTCCTCACCCCTACATCCACACGAGAACTCCAGAGACTGTCACGGTCCTCACCCCTTCATCCAACGAGAACACCAGAGGACTGTCACTGGTCCTCACCCCTCTCATCCCCACGAGAACACCAGAGACTATACGGGTCCTCCGACCCTCCTTGTATATCATCACGATAACACCATGGACTGTCACGGGTCCTCCGCTCTTCATCCCCACAGAGAACACCAGAGACTCTCAAGGGTCCTCACCCTTCATCCCCACGAAACACCAGAGACTGTCACGGGTCCTCCTCCCCTCCTCCTTGTACATCACCACGAGAACACCAGAGACTGTCACGGGTCCTCACCCTTCATCCCCAACAGAACACCAGAGACTGTCACGGGTCCTCACTCCCTCATCACCACGAGAACACCAGAGACTGTCACGGGTCCTCACCCCCCATCCCCACGAGAACACTAAGACTGTCACGGTCCTCATCCCTACATCCCCACGAGAACACAGAACTGTCACGGGTCCTCCTCACCTCCATGTACGTCATCACGATAGAACCAGTGGACTTCACAGGTCCTCACCCCTTCATCCCCGAGAACACCAAGAGACTGTCATGGGTCCTCCTCCCCTCCTTGTATATCACCACGAGAACACCAAAGAGACTGTCATCGGTCCTCCTTCTCCTTCTTGTACATCACCACGAGAACACCAGAGACTGTCACGGGTCCTCACCTCTATATCCATCCACGAGAACAAAGACTGTCACGGGTCCTCAGCCCTATATATTCCCCGAGAACAACAGAGACTGTCACGGGTCCTCCTCTCCCTCCTTGTACATCACAGCGAGAACACCATAGAACTGTCACGCCCCCCCTACGTCCCCACGAAAACACCAGAGACTGTCACGAGTCCTCATCCCTACATCCCACGTGAACACCAGAGACTTCCGGGTCCTCCTAACACTCCTTGTACATCATCACGATAGAACCAGTGGACTTGTGGTCCTCACCCCTTCATCCCCACGAGAAACCAGAGACTCTCACGGGTTCCTCCTCCTCCTCCTTGTATATCACTAGAGAACACCATAGACTGTCAGGTCCTCCTCCTCCTCTCTTGTATATAACCACGAGAACACCATAGACTGTCACGGGTCCTCACCTCTACATCCATCCACGAAAAAACTGAGACTGTCACGGGTCCTCAGCCTATATCCCCACGAGAACACCAGAACTGTCACGGGTCCTCCTCCCCCCTCCTTGTACAACCTCGAGAACACCAAGAGACTGTCACGGTTCCACCTCCCTCCTCCTTGCACATCACCACGAGAACACCAGAGACTGTCAGCGGGTCCTCACCCCTACATCCCCGAGAACACCAAGACTGTCACGTGTCCTCCTCCCCACCTCCTTGAACATCATCCCGATAACACCAATGGACTGTCAAGGGTCCTCCCCCATCATCCTGTGGGACACCATAGACTGTCAGGGTCCTCCTCCCATTCCTTTTTACATCTAAGGGGAACTCTAGAGACTGTCACGGGTCTCACCCCTTCATCCCCACGAGAACACCAGAGACTGTCACGGGTCCTCACCCCTACATCCCCACGAGAACACCAGAGACTGTCACGGGTCCTCACCCCTACATCCTCGAAAACACAGAGAGACTGTCACGGGTCCTCTTCCCCCCTCCTTGTACATCATCACGATAACACCAGTGGACTGTCACGGGTCTCCCCTTCATCCCACGAGAACACCAGAGACTGTCACGGGTCCTCCACCGCCACATCCCCACGAGAACTCCAGAGATTGTCACGGGTCCTCTTCATCCAACGGAAACACCAGAGACTGTCACTGGTCCTCACCCCTCTCATCCCGCGAAAACCAGAGAGAACATCACGATCCTCCTCCCCTCCTTGTACAACATCACGATAACACCAGCGGAACTGTCACGGGTCCTCCGCTCTTCATCCCCACGAGAACACCAGAGAGCTGTCAGGGTCCTCACCCCTTCATCCCCACGAGAACACGGAGACTGTCACGGGTCCTCCTCCCTCCTCCTTGTACATCACCACGAGAACACCAGAGACTGTCACGGGTCCTCACCCTTCAGCACCAAGAGAACACCAAGAGTGTCACGGGTCCTCACCCTTCATCCCCAAGAGAACACCAGAGACTGTCACGGGTCCTCACCCCTTCATACCCACGAGAACACCGAGACTGTCACGGGTCCTCCGCCCTCCTCCTTGTACATCACCACGAGAACACCAGAGACTGTCACGGGTCCTCACCCTTCATCACCAAGAGAGAACACCAGAGTGTCACGGGTCCTCACCCCCCTATCCCCAAGAGAACACCAGAGACTGTCGGGTCCTCCCTCCCCTCTTTGTACATCACCAAGAGAAACACCAGAGCTGTCAGCGGGTCCTCACCTTCAGGACCAAAAGAACACAGAGACTGTCACGGGTCCTACTCCCCCTCCTTGTACATCACCGAGAACACCAGAGACTGTCATGGGTTCCTCGCCCCTTAATCCCCACGAGAACACCAGAGACTGTCCGGGTCGTCCTCCATCCTCCTTGTACATCACCACGAGAACACCAGAGAACTGTCACGGTCCTCCTCCCCACCTTTGTAATCCAACGAGAACACCAGAGACTGTCCGGGTCCTCACCCTTCATCCCCACCAAGAGACTGTCACGGGTCCTCCTCCCTCTCCTTGTACATCACCAAGAACACAAGAGACTGTCACGCGGTCCTCACCCCTTCCTTTCAAGAACACCAGAGACTGTCACGGGTCCTCACCCCTTCATCTCACAGAGCACCAGAGACTGTCACGGGTCCTGTTCATCCCACACCACTGTCGCAGTCCTCACCAGCATCCCCACGAGAACACCAAGACTGTCATGTCCTCCTCCTCCCTCCTTGTTCATCACCACGAGAACACCAGAGACTGTCCGGGTCCTCGTCCCCCCTCCTTGTACATCACCACGAGAACACCAGAGACTGTCACGGTTCTCACCTTTCATCCCCACCTGAACACCAGGGACTGTCGGGTCCTCATCCCTCCTCCTTGTACACATAACCACGAGAACACCAGAGACTGTCACGGGTCCTCACCTTCAGCCCAAGGCACCAGAGACTGTCACGGGTCCTCAACCCTTCATCCCGCAAGAACACCAGAGACTGTCGGTCCTCCCATCACCCGACAAGGACTGTAACGCGTCTTCACCCTTCTTCACCACGGGTACACCAGAGACTGTCACGGGCCTCCTCCCCTCCTTGTTCATCTACACAGAACACCAGAGACTGTCACGGGTCCTCACCCTACATCCCCACAGAACCACAAAGAGTGTCACTTGTAGTCCTCCTCCTTTAACATCACCACGAGAACACAGGGACTGTCACGGGTACTCCTCCCCATCCTTGTTCATGCCCGAGAACTCCAAAGACTGTCATGGGTCCTCCTCCCCCCAACTGTACATCACCACGAGAACACCAGAGACTGTCATGGGTCCTCACCCTTCATCCCCACGGGGAAACCAGGCTGTCAGGTACTCCTACCTCCTTCTACATCACCACGAGAACACCAGAGACTGTCACAGGGCCTCTCCCCTCCTTGTACATCACCACGAGAACACAGACTGTCACGGGTCCTCAACCCATCACCACCACGAGAACATAAAGACTGTCCTCACCCCTTCATCCACAATAAACCAGAGACTGTGGGTCCTCCTCCCCATCCTTGTTCATCCCCATGAGAACACCAAACACTGTCACGGGTCCTCCTCCCTCCTTCTTGTACATCACCACGAGAACATGTCGGGTCCTCACCCCTTCAGCACCACGAGAACTCCAGAGACTGTCACGGATCCTGACCCCTTCATCCCTCGAGAATACAAGATGACTGTCACTGGTCCTTCCCCCTTCATCCCCACGAGAACACGAGAGACTGTCACGGGTCCTCCTCCCCCTATTTGTATATCACTACGAGAACAACATAGACTGTCACGGGTCCTCCTCTTCATCCCACAGAGAACACCAGAGACTGTCGGGTCCTCACCTCTACATCCCCACGAGAACAACAGAGAATATCACAGTCCTCTCCTCCCTCTTTATATCACCACGAGAACACCAGAGACTGTCACAGGTCCTCACTTCTCCCCGAGAACACCAGAGACTGTCACGGTCCTCTTCCCCCTTCTTGTACATCACCACGACAACACCAGAGACTCTCACGCGTCCTCACCCCTTCATCTGAGAACACCAGAGACTGTCACGGGTCCTCCTCCCCCTCCCTTGTACATCACCACGAAGCACCAGAGAAAGTCATGGGTCCTCACCCCTTCAGCACCACGAGAACACCAGAGACTGTCATGCGTCCTCACCCTTCATCACCACAAGAACACCAGAGACCTGTCACGGGTCCTCCTCCCCCTCCTTGTACATCACCACGAGAACACCAGAGACTGTCACGGTTCCTCACCCTTTTCCCCCTGAACACCAGGGACTGTCACGGGTCCTCATCCCTCCTCCTTGTACATAACCACAGAACACCAAGGGTGTCACGGGTCCTCACCCTTCAGCCCAAAGGCACCAAAGACTGTCGGGTCCTCAACCCTTCATCCCGACGAGAACACCAGAGACTGTCGGGTCCTCAACCCCTCATCACCACGAGAACACTAGTGACTGTAGCACGTCTTCACCCCTTCTTCACCACGGGTACACCAGAGACTGTCTCAGCCCTCCTCCCCCTCCTTGTTCATCACCACGAGAACACCAGAGACTGTCATGGGTCCTCACCCCTACATCCCCAGAACACAAAGACTGTCACTTGCTCCTCTCCCCTCCTTGTCACCACGAGAACACCAGAGACTGTCACGTACTTTCCCATCCTTGTTCATGCCCACGAGAACTCCAAAGACTGTCATGGGTCCTCCTCTTGTACATCACCACGAGAACACCAGAGACTGTCATGGGTCCTCAACCCTTCATCACCACGAGAAAACAAGAGACTGTCACGTGTCTTTCTCCTCTCCCTGGTCCATCACCAGGAGAACACCAGAAACTGTCACGGTCCTCCTCCTCTTGTACATCACCACCAGAACACAAGACTGTCACGGTTTCTCACCTTTCATCCCGAGAACACCAAAGACTGTCACGGTTCCTCACCCTTTCATCCCCACGAGAACACCAGAGACTGTCACGCGTCCTCCCCCTACATACCCCGAGAACACACTGTCACGGGTCCTCCTCCCCTCCTTGTACATCATCACAGATAACACCAGTGGACTGTCACGTGCCCTCATCCCTCATGAGAACACCAGACTGTGATGGGTCCTCACCCCTACATCCCAACGAGAATCCCAGAGACTGTCAGGGTCCTCACCTTCATCCACGCACAAGAGGACTGTCACTGGTCCTCACCCTTTCAATCCACGAGAACCACAGAGACTGTCACGTCCTCCCCCCTCCTTGTCACTCATCAGGATAACACCAGTGGATGGTCACGGGTCCACCCCCCTCATCCCCAGAGAACACCAAGAGACTGTCACGGGTCCCCCTCCCTCCTTGTTAATCTCCACGAGAACTCCAGAGACTGTCGCCTCCTCCCTCCCTTGTATCTCCACTGAGAACTCCAGAGACTGTCACGGGTCCTCCTCCCTGAGGAACACCAGAAACTGTCAGCTGGCTCCCACCCTTCATCCCCAGAGAACACTGAGACTGTCACGTGTCCTCTCCCTCCTCCTGTACATCACCACGAGAACACAAGAGATGTCACGGGTCCTCACCCTTCAGCGCCAAGAGAACACCAGAGACTGCCGGGTCCTCACCCTTTCATTCCACGAGAACACCAGATAACTCCATGGGTCCTGACCTCATCACCAACCAGAGACTGTCACGGGTCCTCACCCAACATCCCCAGGAAACACCAAAGACTGTCACGGTCCTCCTCCTCCTCCTTGCACCATGAACACCAGAGACTGTCGCGGGTCCTTCTCCCCTCCTGTGATACACCACGAGAAAACCAGAGACTGTCACGGTTCCTCACCCCTTCATCCCAGAGAAAACCAAAGACTGTCAGTACCTACCTCCTTACATCACCACGGGAACATCAGACTCTCACGGGGCCTACTCTCATCACCACGAGAACACCAGAGACTGTCACGGGTCCTCCTCCCCTCCGTATATCACCACGAGAACACCAGAGACTGTCACGGTTCCTCACCTCATCCCCACGGACACAGAGACGCACCGGTCTCCCTCTCCTCCTTGTACATCACCACGAGAACACAAGACTGTCAGGGTCCTCACCCTCAGCAGAGAACACCAGAGACTGTCACGGGTTCCCTACCTTCATCTCCACGAGAACACCAGAGAATCTCACGGGTCCTGACCCTCATGCCTACAGAGAACACCAGAGACTGTCACGGCCTCACCAACATCCCACGAGACAAAGACTGTCACGTGTCTCTCCTCCCTCCTCACCACAGAACACCATAGACTGTCGCGGGTCTCTCTCCTCTCCTGTACATCCCACCATGAACACCAGAGACTGTCACGGTTCTACCCTTTCATCCCGAGAACACCAAAAGACTGTCACGGGTACTCCTACCCTCCTTTACATCACGAGAACATCAGAGACTGTCACGGGCCATCTCCCCTTGTACATCACCACGAGAACACCAGAGACTGTCACGGGTCCTCTCCCCTTGTATATCACCACGAGAACACAAGAGACTGTCACGGGTCCTCACCCTTCAGCGCAGAACACCAGAGACTGTCACGGTTCTCTCACCTTCATCCCCACGGAGAACACCAGAGACTGTCACGGTCCTCCTCCTCTCCTTTCTGCCATCACCACGAGAACACAAGAGACTGTCGTGCCTCACCATCCTACATGAGAACACCAGAGACTGTCGGGTCCTCCACCTCCTTCGTCACTACCACCAGAACACCAGAGACTGTCACGGTGCCTCACCTTCATCCCCAGAACACCAGAGACTGTCGCGGGTCCTTTTCCCCATCCTGGTTCATCACCACGAGAACACCAGAGACTGTCACGGGTCCCTCACCTCTTGTACCATCAACCAGCACCAGGAAACTGTCACGGCCCTTTCAGCACCACGAGAACAACAGAGACTGTCACGGGTCCTCCTCCTTTGTATATCACCACGAGAACACCAGAGACCACAGGTCCTCCTCTCCTGTACATCACCACCAGAACACCAGAGACTGTCACGGTTCCTTCACCCCTTCATCCCCACGAGAACACAAGAGACTGTCAGGATACTCCTCCCCATCCTCATCCCCGAGAAATCAAATACTGTCACGTCACGCCTCCTCCCTCCTTGTACCACCACGAGAACACCAGAGACTGTCATGGGCCACCTCCTTCAGCACCACAAGAACACCAGAGACTGTCCGCTGCCCTCACCCCTTATGAGAACACCAGAGACTGTCACGGGTCCTCCTCCCCATCCTTGTTCATCCCACAAGAACACCACAGACTGTCACGGTTCTCCCGCCTCCTTGTACATCACCACGAGAACACCAGAGACTGTCATGGGTCCTCCCATCCCTTTCAGCACCACGAGAACACCAGATACTGTCACGTCTCCTACCTCTTCATCCCCACGAGAACACCAGAGAATGTCACGGGTCCTCCTCCCCATCCTTGTTCATCCCCAAAGAACACCAAAGACTGTCACGGGTCTCTATCCTTGTCATCCCAAGGAACACCAAAGACTGTCACGGGTCCTCCCTTCCTGTTCATCCCCATGAGAACACCAGAGACTGTCACGGGTCCTCCTCCCCCATCTGTTCATCACCACGAGAACACCAATGACTGTCACGGGTCCTCCTCTCCCTGCACACCACGAGAACACCAGAGACTGTCATGGTTCCTCACCTCTTCGCACCTCGAGAACACCAGAGACTGTCACGCTGTCCTCACCTCTTCATCACCACGAGAACACCAGAGACTGTCACGGGTCCTCCTCCTCCCTCCTGTTAATCACCACGAACACCAGAGACTGTCATGGGTCCTCACCCCTTCAGCACCACGAGAACACCAGAGACTGTCACGGGTCCTCCTTCCCCTTCTTGTACATCACCACACAACACCAGAGACTCTCACACGTCCTCACCATCCCTATGAGAACACCAGAGACTGTCACGGGTCCTCCTCTCCTTGTACATCACCACGAGAGCACCAGAGAAAGTCATGGGTCCTCACCCCTTCAGCACCACGAGAACACCAGAGACTGTCATGCGTCCTCACCTTCATCACCACGAGAACACCAGAGACTGTCACGGGTCCTCCTCTCCTCCTTGTATCATCACCACGAGAACACCAGAGACTGTCCGGTTCTCACCCTTTTCATCCCCACCTGAACACCAGGGACTGTCACGGGTCCTCATCCTCCTCCTTGTCATAACCACGAGAACACCAGAGACTGTCACGGGCCTCACCCTTCAGCCCCGAGGAGCACCAGAGACTGTCACGGGTCCTCAACCCTTCATCCCGACGAGAACACCAGAGACTGTCACGGGTCCTCAACCCTCATCACCACGAACACTTAGTGACTGTAACGCGCCTTTCACCCTCACGTGCACACCAGAGACTGTCACGGCCCTCTCTCTCCCTCCCTTGTTCATCACCACGAGAACACCAGAGACTGTCATGGGTCCTCACCCTTACATCCCCACGAGAACCACCAAAGACTGTCACTTGTACTCTCCCCTCCTAGTACATCACATGAGAACACCAGAGACTGTCACGGGTACTCCTCCCCATCCTTGTTCATGCCAGAACTCCCAAAGACTGTCATGGTCCTCCTCCCCAACTTGTACATCACCACGAGAACACCAGAGACTGTCATGGGTCCTCACCCTTCATCACCACGGAAACACCAGAGACTGTCACGTTCTTTCTCCTCCTCCTTGTACATCACCAGGAGAACACCAGAAACTGTCACAGGTACCCCTCCCTCCACCACGAGAACACCAGAAACTGTCATCGCGTCCTCCCTCCTTGTACATCACCACCAGAACACAAGAGACTGTCACGGTTTCTACCCTTTCATCCCCACGAGAACACCAAAGACTGTCACGGTTCCTCACCTCTTTCATCCCCACGAGAACACCAGAGACTGTCACGCGTCCCTCACATACCCTGAGAACACTAGACACTGTCACGGGTCCTCCTCCCTCCTTGTCCATCACGATAACACCAGCTGGCTCCTCCCCCATCCTGAGAACACCAGAGACTGTGATGGGTCCTCACCCCTACATCCAACGAGAACTCCAGAGACTGTCATGGGTCCTCACCCCTTCATCCCACGAGAACACCAGAGGACTGTCACTGGTCCTCACCCTTTCAATCCACGAGAACCACAGAGACTTTCACATGTCCTCCGCCCTCCCTTGTACATCATCAGGATAACACCAGTGGATGGTCACGGGTCCACCCCTTTCATCCCCACGAGAACACCAGAGACTGTCACGGGTCCCCCTCCCTCCTTTGTTAATCTCCACGAGAACTCCAGACTGTCACGGGTCCTCCTCCTCCCTGTGTATATCTCCACGAGAACTCCAGAGACTGTCACGGGTCCTCCTCCCCGCCTTGTATATCACCACGAGAACACCAGAAACTGTCACGGTTCCTCACCCTTCATCCCCAC